ATCACTTGTTGACTGATTGCGATGCATGCAAGAAAAAAATCCAATCAACTCAGTCAGCCACTCCTCATGAATAGGGTCATTTGAATATAGAGGGGCATCTGAAATTGCAGTGTTTGTGTCAACATAACAAGTTAATGATCTCAGATGATAATTGGTAGTTGGATGCTGAAGCGCTGTGCTGTGGCCCATGAGGTTTAGTGCCAAGGACCTTCTGTGATAAAAGAAGCAGCATGAGGGCTTTCAAAGTGGCACGATGCTGTAGGCAACACAATTCATCACCGCTCCATGAATATTCATCCAGCTCTCCGCTTCCTCCTGAGCTGCTGAAAACACGTCTGTATTAAGTCTCTTCTATGTGCTGCAGTGTGAAGACACCTAAACCTTCTGGCCTCTCATTACCAGACTGTGCTCTTGCAGCCCCGCATTCAGCTGCCTACCAGGGAGGGAAGCCACGCTTCATTAAAATCAAAAAGAAAATTCTCTTACTCGCCGCACTAACAAGGCAGAGGGTTGGACGGTCAGATGATTGTGAATTCACCCTTCTTCGCACACGCTCGCAGGGGTCAGGAGTAGTGATTGCCACCCAGCTTTCTCCTGCACATTGCAAGTGGGTAGATGAAATTGCCAGCTTTGGGCTGTGTGGTTTGCGCGTGGACCCAGTCTGAAGCTTGATGTTAGCAATTTAAGAACATTTGCTGTGTCTTTTTCCAGCCCAACCTTCTCGCTGACGAGAGCCGAGAGAATCGTGGATTGGTTTCTGGGGCATCTTTTCGGCGCTTTATCGGACCTGCAGGCTTCTCAGTGCTGTCCCCAGATTACAGTTTAGGAAGACGGTGCTTGACTGACAGGCCTTGGCCTTGACAGTCCCTGGGGGGAAGGGGAGGGGGATTTGTGATGGCTGAACTGACTTGTACTTCTCTTACAATTTTCTCCAGGCTGGTTTCAGACTGTCAGGCTGAGAGAAAGCTCTCTCTGCATAATTCATTAGATCTCCTCTCTTTTTCACTCTTGGCTGGTATGTGGCAGGCACCGTAGCCCCATTGTTTAGGAAGACAGAGTAATGGAGCTTGTCACAATATGGTAACATAGTTTATTGTTCACAGCAACAGTTTGAAAACAACTTAACTTCCTTTGAAACAAGCTATTTGGCATATCCAATGCAGAATAATTACAAAGGAAAACCGAGCAATCAAATAGGCTATTCAAACAAAAACAGCTTAAGCCGCTCGTTTATTTTTCATTTATAATTGGTTAAGAGCATAAAAAGAATTCATAAATGATAATTACAACTTTAGTGTCACAAACAGTTTTGGCTAATAGACTGTAATACAGAGCAGGATATATCTATACAGGTTGCCTCGACACCAACCATTGTTTTGCAGCCAATTACCCCAGCATTGTCGGCATATGACACATACACAGGCCTGTCCTTTTGAAGCTTGTATACTGTCTCTGGGCATGATCTAGCTGGCATTTATTTCTTGAAAATCTGCAAGGGAAAATATCTCATCTTTGATGCGACATGACATCTCCCTTCACAGAATATGACTAAACAAGCTCGTTTTCCAACACACAATCCTGCGTGTTGAAGCCAGAGGACAACTTCTGTCACTGTAGCAGTAAATAAGGGCTGGTAGGAAGGGACTTTCTATAAAACTATGCAAATGCAGCAGCATGCTGACGTCTAAAACTCCTTGCATGGATGCAGTATGTCAAAATCACAAGGCATACACTGCCAATGACAGAAATGTTTAAACAGGGCCGTGGCTAATTTGGAAATTATGATTACAGCATTTAAGGTGGGGGTAAATAAAGCTGAATTTATCTGTACTTGATTTGAATCAATAATTTTTAAACACGTGCTCAAAACTTTACCCAGCCAATTAGATTTAAAAACAGCCTTCTGCACTGTTTTCTACATGGAGTTAAAACCAATAGTAAGGGCAAATATGAAAGGAGAGTGTCGGTCTCTGCTACAATAAGGAGGGATCATCTTCCACAATAACTCGATCAGGAAATTCTGTAACTGTCGCAGGTACATTCCAGTTATGCCACGTTTAGTCACTTAAATCACCTTTGTTCCCCATTCTGATACTGAGTTTGAACTTCAGCAGGTCGTCTTGGCAATGTCCTCACGCCTTTGAGTTGCTGCCATGTGTAGATTAGATATTTGCAATAACGAGCAGGTGAACAGGTGTGCCTAACAAAGCAGCCAGTGAGTGATTATTACTTTCAAAGTGCTGTAGTTGTCTTTCAAAGTGGACTTGAGTGTTATATAGTGCAATGGAGGATCCTCATCTTGAATAAGGTCAGCAAGTACAAGGAATTCCTGTGAGTCCCAGACCAGGTTTCAGACTTCTCTAAACAGTCTGTTTCGGATCATTTTTCTCTACTTTTGGGTCTTTGTGATGTCACTGAGACAGCCAATCAGAAGATAGCTGGCTTAAAAGAAAAGGAGATAAAATAGACTGCACTAAGGTACAGTAATGAAAATACTCTAGAGTTAAAGAGAAAGACTGTAGAGTACAAAATGACCATAACAACCATGTTTTCTACATTATTTTCCATTAGTCTTTGTATGTATATATTTCAATAACCCTGAGTGTTGCTTTGATTGAACGAAAGGTCAGAATGTAACAGAAAGATGTTCAGCATCTTCCTTTTGAGAGGAAAAACACACGAATTGAACAAAAACATGCCACGGGCGAAGCTCCAAAGACATGCAAAAAGTGAAAGCCAAAAATTTGCACATTAATATAAAAGAGAACAGTTTCTTTCAAGTTTAAAGCCTGGTATTAGTATTCTGATGCTACACTGAAAAACACCCTTGGTTTCTCATTCAAAGTTAAGGATTACCTCTGGAGCGGTTTTCTGTCAGTACTGAACAGCTGTAAATAAGATTTGGATGCTTTTAAAAGATACATTTAAATCTAGTCAGAGTTAGAGTGGTGGAGCATAAAAGTACAAATAAAAAAGAATAAATGAAACGCTAATGTTGACTGAAAGAAACACATCTGATGTAAGGTCACATGTGGACACAGGACAGGACCAGATATTAAAATATTTTTAAAGTCTCTTTGATTAATAGCTCTGCATGTTTTAACATCACTATATCAGAGTTCATCACAACTCTCAGCTTTTCACTGTATAAAAACTTGGATCTGTATGTAACAATATCAATACTATAAACATGTAACTTAAGAGCTTTAAGAGACGATAGATGTTGTCCCATTCAGAAAAATAGCAAATGTATTCACCATTCAATGCTAATTCTTAATATTTAGATTTAGCAAATTTAATGAGCTAAAATGGGTTTTAACCAACTGTTTGGACTTTGCAAACATAATTACAGTTAAAATTAGATTCCTGTCAAGGTGCCTGCACTGAACCAGTTTCATTCAGATGAAATAACATTAAGAGCTCATTATGTTAAACCTGGAGAATAAGATCAAGCTATTTCAAAGAAAGGATACAAGACAAATGTGATCGTGTGTATATTTAAAGCTGAGCTTTCTTATCAAATCAGGACTCTGGACTGACTCCCAAATAAAACCTCAACCTTTGCTTTGTTAGAACTGTGCATCATGGCCTAATGAAACTGGCATGTTTTTGTTTATACATATTAAAATATATCAACTTAATTCATGCACGCAATGAACCTGATGACAGTACATGAGGTTAATTCTTGTCATAAATGCCTGTCCATGATTTTCAAAATGAATAAAAGTAAATATTTGTGCTGTGACTTGAGTATATTTAGTGCTTTTATATTCTTTAAAATGTACCAAGTAGAACACGGCTGACTCTACAGCAAGTGCGAGCAGATTGAGAAATGCGCCTTCAGAGCTGCTCCTTGTCATCTGTAATACTTTTCAAACTGAGTGAACAGTGCCATCTACTGGGAAGACTGGCGAAGTCTTCAAATATCAGAAGAACAAAATGAGATCCTATTTTTAATCACTGCAAATTTGTGTCAATACTGCAGTTACATTCTCCTATTCTCCAGCCGTTCTTTGTGCTGTGATGGAGAAAAAAAAAAAAAAACTAATCAGATCATTCAAATTGAGGAGGAGGAAAAACATTATGAAGGAAACAGAAAAAAAAAATAAAATAAAAAAATAGTTGGGTTCCTCTTTACTTTGTTCTTTATTACACATTAAATAGGAGTGGTGAGATTTATGGCAAAATAGACTCATTTGAGATTAGATCACCACTCTACATTGCCCACCACAGGTATGATGTAAAGTGGTCATTCATTCACTTCCCTAAACCTGGACCCCAGTCACACTCGCTGTTCACATACAGAGAGCGGAGCGAAACTCCATTAAAGCAACATTCATGTAGACACAAATGAAATGAAGCACAATTTACAAAATATGCACCTCTCATTATCACAACTATACAAAGGTTGTTAAAATACGATCCAGGTATAAATGATACATTTCAGAAATCAGCTGTTGGCACCCATTAAAAGGAAGAGGAACATTTCAAACATTACAGTAAAACTACTTGTGAAACAGTATTGTGGACAGGAGGGTTCCATAATTAAAAATTGCATCAACAGTTATCATCTACTTCATGAAAGAAAAAGAAAAAAAAAGAAAGCAAAAGAGGTAATAATAAACTGGGTCAAAATCCATTAATCCTGAAAGCAAAACATCACTTTTTGTGGGAATAACAACGCTCCCCTAGAAAAGCATTTTGTGCATCTCTAGAGTACACGGGGGGAAAATAAATGATGTTTCGGCTCTTCCAACATCTATATGTAGCACCTAATGCAAAGATAAAAGGCAAATTAAAAAAAACCCAGATGAGCAGTTTGTAAATACAATGGAAAATGGTGAAATTGGGGTTGACCCCAGAAGGAAACTGGACTTTTTATTATTTTTGTAATAAAGTCAGACGATTTAATCTAAGAACCAATTTTATGGCAATTATTGCCTCATTTACAAACATCCGTTCCAGTTGCATCACCACACTAAACACATTTTATGAGAGAGAAAAAAAAAAAAAAAATTATTTTGCTGGACAATCATTTTTGTTGAAAGGCAGGCCAACAAACAATTTCAACACTCAAGCAAAAGAATCCAAGGAGTAGGAGAGAGAAGGGAAGAAAGAAAAAAACAAAACCCTCTTCGAAAAGCTAAACAAAATCTGAAAATTTATTTGGACAACATTTTGAACAACCTCTGTGACTCCACACCAAGACAAATATTCTTGACAGCTGCGTAAAGGATTCGTTCTGCTTTCTAGCTGCTCACAAGCAAAGAAGTTAGTGCGCAAGACACCTCCGTGGCCTCTTATGTTCTGCTGCTGGACAAACCTTAAATTATGCAGTGAACCTAAACATTACGGTCAAATATGAAGTCCACAAAGAGGAGGACAGCTGTTAACAGCTGTTTTTGAGCATATATTGATGAAATGATTATTTGTCAGGATGAATCAAAACAATCCTACAGTCAAATCTTAGCCTAACGAAAAGCAGGAAACTTTTAACCGAAGTCAAAAAAGGCAACACAAAATGACCCACATAATGTGGCTGCTAGTCCCATTTTATTAAGACAAAAATGGGTTCAAAAATATATATCTTGCTTAGAATTTCTGCTTTAAAAAGAAAAAAAAAAAGGCAGATTTATTTCTCACAAAACCAAACAAAAGCAAAAAACTACTTTCAAAAAACCTGAAAAACTAGACTATGTCCAATCGAGTCAGAGTTCTTTATCGCTGGCTTCGTTTAATCCATCGACCAGAGGCAGTTTACCCATGTCTTCTAGGACATAATTCATGCAAAAAGGGGAGAAGAAAAGAAAAAAAAAGAAAATCTCTCTCACCTCATGGCAAGAACACACAGTACTAAGAAAAGACAAATTACAAATTAATTAATAACTAATGAAGGTGTTAAAAACATTCAGAGATGAGTAGGAGTTTGCATGCATACTTATCAGTGACATAGCTAAGTCATACCTAGAGGTCGTTAGAGACGGGGACAAAACACAGGGGCTGGGATTGGATCTCATCTGGCTGACTGTTGGTCCTTTCTTCATATCCATATTGTCTACGTGAGCGGGATGAAAATTCATTCTTTGGCATCCCATACTTTTAAAAAGGTCATTAGAGAACATGACCTTTCAAGCAAAGAGAAAATTAACTCAAGGTTTAATGAATAATTTGTTAAACATAATTTGCAATGCAATTGGCTCCCAGCTCTGTAAAATGCTCCAAATCAGCATTATCATTTAAAAAATAAAAATTCTAAATTCATCAGGCTCTTGAACCCATATTGTGGGCAACTGGCACTAAACTGAAAATGAAGCTTATTGGTGTCCAAAGAAGCAAATAAGAAGAGAGGAAAAAAAAAAAAAAGAAAAGGCAGAAAATTCAGTTCAGGTTTAGTATTGTGTGGGTATGGAGAAATAGGCTAATAATTTAGTGTAATGTACAAAATGTATTACTTGAACTGTTCAACATAGTTGCATTTTTTTGTCTTAAAAGGGAATCATTATTCACATAATTGTACACTTTGTCTTGGACTTCTTTTTCTTCTTTTTGCCCTCCTTGCTCATCTTCTCCTTATGCTTCCGGATTTCTCGCACTAACGTGTAAAAGGCATCGTCAACGCCCTGGAAAACAAGCAGAGAGTGTGCACCGTTAGAATAAGAAGCTTTGTTCATGACTGCACTGTGTAAACTTGTCTACTAAAAGTGAATCAAAATCTCCAAATAAAAAGTCTGTCCATTTTAAATACACTGTTTTCTGATTAAGTGTACATTCTGTAAATGAGACACAATTCGGGGGATCAATCCGATTCGAACCATTTAGGACATGCTGAATAAAATGTGTGTTTCAGAATAAAAGTCAGTGGTGCTTCCACTGACATCAAAGACAGTGGCTGCAGTTACATGGGCTTCATTTCTCAATGTCATCAGCACAGTCTGGCACCAGTACAGGATTTAAAATGTATGTACCTGAAGTATTCATAAAATATAGTTCCAGTGGAAAAGATGCACCGCTGGGAAAAGTGCTCTCACAAGCAATGAATAAACAAATTTAAATTAGCCCTTTTAAAAAGAGTTAAAGGGGTAATAAAACTTTGTTTTGTTTTTATATAAATACACCAATTTATTCTGACAGAGGTATTTAAATTAGGCTTTTATTCTCTCACAAAGATCCTATTCAGATTATTGGTGAGTAACAGGCTCCATGGAAATGCAGCAAGTGTCGTTTTAATGGCACACTGACGTAAATGTGTGATGAACATTTTGAACGGTGTGTAAATGTGACAATCTGTAAGGAGCAGTAGAGTAAAGAGCCTGAGGCCAATTTAAGGTTTTGACAAAGACAGCAGGAAAACAGAGTAAAGAAGATGGGATTTATATCAGCAGGAAAAATTGCCTTAAAACCACACGCACACAATTTGTTGACGACACATCTCTGCCATTTTCTCAAAGCGCATCCTTCGCAGAAACACATTCCAGCAAATGATTCAGTCCAATGTTTGCAGTAACATCCTCTAATCACACATGATGGCTAAACCAGCCCAAAAACCCCATTGTTCATGCTGATTTCAGCCCATTAGGACACTTTCACACTGGTAGTCTGAATCTAGGAACAGTTAGCCTGGAAATCTGACTATGTGAACACAAGTGCAGACCCCTTTCCAGGTTGACTAAAAGGAAAAGGTCTGGCTGCCAAAGTGCAGAAAGAAGGTTTCTTTCATTATAGGAAAATGTATTTCAGTAGTCGTGTTTGGATTAAAACAGGACAGAAAACAGACTCCCAGCTTTACAGTCGGAAAACAAACCCAAACCTGGTGCCGTGTTAGTTTTTATGCTCGAGTTGAGCAATAAGGTAGGCACTTGTTTGGTTTTTTTGGTAACATTTCTCACTCTATGCAGACTGTTACTTCAGTCGTGCTTTTTCTACTTACAGCGTTCAATTTTTCTGACATGTCTCAATAAGCACAGTCATCATTCATAATGGAAATAAGGGGAGAGAAAAAAAATCCCCACCCCTATATGAGGAAGGCATAATGCAAATGTCCACCAGTGTGAAAGTAGACTAGCTTGCATAGATCAAAGTTCTTTAGGCTCAGTAAACCAATCCAGTGTGAAAACAAACTCAATAAAATCAACCATGATACACAGAAACACTGAAAGGACAGGAATCATCAGCTGCCTCAGCCTCATGTTAGACTCACACCACAGCCCCAATAGAAACCAGCAGGTTAGCTTTGAGAACATGTGAAGCACCAGCTCCTCACTGAGTGTCTTCTTCCATTTCCTTCACCACAATTCCCACTAACAACACACACGCAGAGCTGGTGGGTGTGCGGCTGCATACACTTACCCCTTCACATCACAACACACTTTTTAAGCTTGACACAGCGCGGAGTCTTTTCTTCCTTGCTGATCTTATTGACCCGGTACAGCCTGATCTCCCGTACCAGAGTGTAAAAGGCATCTTCCACTCTCTGCAGTATGAAACACAACTTTCCTCAATGTTGAGGAATACACAGGAGGAGGGGGGAGGACATACTATTTGGATGCATTTGTTACAAACTACAAATACGAAGGAGTAAAGCAAACTGGCGGTGCAGGTCTACTTGCAAAGTTTGCCCTGCCTAATCCTCTGCATAACACTTTATTTCAAAATCTTGGGATATGGATGAATATAAATGTTGATTTTTTCCCCCCCCCTCCATATCTTTAAAAAGATAATTTGAGTGTTTTTAAGGAGAGGAAATAAATATTAAGTCATTCAGAAAACAAATACTTGGATTTAGTATGTTGCCTGACCTGACTACTATTAAGCAATGATGCACTGTAGTCTCCTTACTTTTCCACCCACATTGAAACTGACAAAAGCAGTGTATTCAGCTACATCAGTCCAAAACAAGTGCAACGCATGGAGTATATGTATACAGTTGTAGTCAGAAGTTTTAATTCACTTATCATGGGCATGAATGTTTGGGCCATTATTTTTTTTCTTTCAATTGATTGTACAGCATACATCTTTAAGCTTGAGCTTTGAGTTCATTTTAGTTTTCTCTAATCCACACAGACTCAAATACAAAGACACGCCCCACTAATATTTGGCCAAATGTCCCTTCTTGAGTTGCACCTCAACCAGACACCAGCCATCAACACGCTTCTGGCATAGTTCTGGCTGGATTGCTGACCACTCTTCTTGGCAGAATTTGTTGAGTTTGTGTAAACTTCTGACCACAACTGTAAACAGACAGTGGAGAGGTGTAATATGGTGCAGGAGTGGTTCAGAATTTTGATTACCAGTGTGGCTGCTCTTATTTTCACCTTCTGAGTACATGTATGCAAGTGTTCTGTGATGGTAAATAAGATCCCTGAGACATCTACTGTAGTGAGGACTAAGACAAGGCGGCTCTCTTTGCTTTAGCTTGTGGTTTTATATCTGCTTGTGGACAGATTGTTATGAATATGATACCTTTACAACTATGTAAGACGCAGTTAAACTTTACAGGTGTGACCTGAACATCAAACATAGGGGTGCAGTACAAAGGCAGGTGTGGTCAGGGAATGCATTGCTGGATCGAGGCCAGTTGAGTTTTGTCATAATAAAAATGTCACAATACGAATATATTTGAAATTTTAAAAAAAAAAAAAAGCAGCAAAGCTCAAACCACCAGATTTTAATTTAGCCAATTATCCCCTTTGGCCTCTGCACCACAGCCAATTTTAGATGATTCAGTGAAAATCTCATTTTTAGCAGATGCATTTGGGAATCTGAAATGGAGTTACCATTACTTCCAGCAGAACAAGCTTAAATGCTTCTCTAGAACTTTATTTTTTAAGATGACAAATGCGGCAAGCAGGGTAAGTCGTGAGCGAGGACTGTGTTGGTGTGTCCAAAACCTCCTTCGTTATTCATGTAACGTGTGCAAGTTCCAAAACTGTATGACGTTTTAAAAACAGACACCTTCCAAGCTTGCAGTGGGCGAGTGGTAACAGTATTTGTTTGGTATCATTTAAAAATTGTATATTGTGCCCATCGTGCATTTCCAGAGAAGATTAAATTATTTAAGAGTAGCCATGAGTGGCTTCAAATAAATGTAATAGTTCCGGTTCTAATAGAAGCAGCACTGTGTGGACACTGAACTTCCCTGCACCAAAAGGAACTATGATTCACCCCAGATCAGAGAACACTAAAATGCGCTTACAGATCACTCCAATAGCCAGTCTGCTACCTAAAGCCATGCCCACAACACACACACCACTGATATCACAGCAAATCTTCCAAAACCCCAGACACAGCAACCAGTAAGCAGAATCATTAACCCTCTGATTAATTTCCGACACTTTGCCCTTTCATGCAGAGTCCCTGACACCGATTTGCTGATTATTTATAAAGCAGGATCCTTTGCAGGTGGGCTAATAATGATTTAATTCACATATCCGTGACAAAGCAGCATGCAATGATTACATTGTCACCCATTAAATTTAAATTAACCAAAAAAGATTTAATGATGCACAGCGTGTTACCTGAGACAATTTCAAGCAAGATAATTGCATTTAAAAAAAAAAAAAAAAAAAAAAAAAAAAAGGGACCAACAGAGATAGCAACACAAATCAATAATCCCTCATGATACAATCACATTCTTGTGATCCATTTCCCAAAATCATCCAGCTGTGTTACCAAAATTACCATTAGCTTACCTTTTCTGAAAAAACAATTTGATACGAAAGGAACATTTATGGAAATGACAAAACGACCAATAACCCTGAGACCACATGCACCTCCACACCATTTAACATGCTCTCCATACCTCCAGTGCAATCCCACAACAGTTTAGTGACAGAGTTGACAAATGAGCCACTTTGAGTCTTGAGGACAACACCCAGTCTGTTGTTGGGATTCTCACCTGTCTGGTTTTGGCTGAGGTCTCAATAAAGGGAATGCCGTAGCTACGTGCTAAGTCCTGAGCCTGCTTTGTGTCCACTGTCCGGGACGGGAGGTCACACTTGTTCCCCACCAGCACCATGGGGACGTCCTCAGAGTCCTTCACCCGCTTAATCTGTTCTCTACACATTCACAGCCAGAACAGAATTGCAGTTTTAGTTTCATTTTACTTGTGTAGTACTCCATTGGCTATGTAATACGATGTTAGAAAACACTGTACAAACAAACCACACTGAACACACAAAACACTTGTAGTGTACAGAATGACTTTCTATAAACTGCAAGTGTTGCTGTAGTTTTCAGAAACAAGAACATTAATGACTTAAGCTCAGCCCCTTACAGAACACTGATACACATATTCTGCTGTAGTTGTAATTCCTACAGTGTTTTTGTACATTTTAATAGAAGATCCCATATATTTACAATATTTTAGTATATCAGTAAGTTGGGGGCGGGGGGGTTGCTACAGTAAAAAAATAAATAAAACTAAATAAATAAATAGCAATGATACTGGTATCGATATTGAACCGTTCGATACAGTGCTTTCGGTTCGGTACGCATATGTATCGAACAATAAAACATTTATTTATTTTATCAACTCTTCTTCTGACGATGCTGTCTGTGTTGAGCGCTCAGTGGATCTGCGTTCGACTACCCCGCCTAAGCTGCACTGTCGAGTGCAGATCCACTGAGCGCAGCGCAAGCTAGCAAGACAGAAGCTAAGCTCCTTGCAACATGGCAACTGCCTCAACGCTACCCGAAATTGAACCTCCCCCACCCTCATTCAGATCTGGCGTTTGGAACTATCTTGGTTTTCATGTGAAGCATGACCCTGATGGTAAGCGCGTCATGGACAAAAGTAAAACAGTATGTCGGATAGAGGTGGGAATCACCATACATCCCACGATACGATATTATTGCAATTTTTTAAAATATTTTGCAATAGTCAGATTCTGTACATAAAGGTAAACTTTATCAATATTCATTTAATCTAATATCAAAGTCTCGCACTCAGTCTTTCTCTCATTTCAGTCAGTTTTATTGTTGACAAACTGAACAGTTTGTATTACAGTCTAGTCCAACTTAACTGAATGCAACCATCTGGTACAATTATAGCTATTCTGAACTATGCAATTTATGAAAACTATGCAGCCCATTCAGCAACTGAAGAATTTGAAAGTAAATTAAAACAAAATATAATTTTACATTAAATAAAAAAGTTTTAAACTGAATTAAAATAAAACTAAACTGTCATGTTTATTGCTGCCAAAAAAAAAGTTAAACACATTTGGACAGTGTCAGGATTCTTGCTCAGAAAAAGGAGCTGATCAACATGCTCTGAAGTCAGAGCACAAAAACTTTTTTTGTAACAAAATATCGATTTCTGCCGTCCCTGTATCGATACATTATTAACAAACAAAATATCACGATACTACACAGTATCGATTTTTTCCCCCCACCCCTAATGTCGGATGTGCCACGCAATGCTCAATTTGTGGGAACTAGTGCGTTAACGCAGTTAGCCGTTTACGTGTTGACGCCGTCCAGCCCCACGCACGGAGCGATCCGCGGTAACTTGTTAACGGATATTTGCCGCGTTATGGTGTTAATGTCATTTTAACAAGATTAACGCTGACAGCACTAGTGGGAACAACGAATATGACTGCACATTTACACCGACATCATCCATGCAAAGACAAGTGGAAGCAGGCAAAAACAACAAGCACGCATGCTACAAACTTTAGCCGAGTCATTTAGACAGCCTTTAGCACATGATTCTCCTTATGGTGACCTGATATGTTTAATATGCTGCTGAGAATATACCACAGAAGAAGGCTATAGTATAGCTTTTATTTTGGAAAGAGCCATTTCTCTGTAATAAACTCTTTTCCAAAGATGAGGGATTTCTCAATCAGATAGATTTATTTTTTTTTTATTTTGTTGTTTCAGCAACATTAAATTTAAAAACTGTACTTTTGAGTTAAAATATACATTTATAATTTTAATAAATTAAAAATTAAAAAGGCACGAACATTTTTTGTATCGAAAAAATATCGAACCGTGACACCAAAGTATCGAACCGAACCGTGAATTTTGTGTATCATTGCACCCCATATATATAAAAAATATACATTTTTATATATACACTTTAGTGACTTCAAAATACAGCATGTTATTTCTTAGTTTTAAGTAAACTACTACATACTGGTTACAAAGACATGAGGCAATTTCTCCCCTAGCTCACCTATAGTGGTGAATGTCTTCAAAGGACTTGGTGTTGTTGATGGCAAAGACACAGAGGAAACCCTCCCCTGTCCTCATGTATTGATCCCTCATGGCGCTGTACTCCTCCTGACCTGCTGTGTCCAGGATGTCCAGTAGACATGTCTCTCCGTCAATGACTACCTGCTTTCTGTAAGAGTCCTGGAAGCAAAACACATGAGAATCCTGGAATTTAGTGGTTTTAAGAGATGTAATACAATGAGATGATAGCTTATTTAATAATTTTTAAATAGATTTTAAGTTACTCTAAATGTGTTGGCTGAGTGTGATTTACCGATGATATCGCATTTTTAATCTAATAATTACGATACTTAAAGTTATGAGATGATTTCAATAAAATATACCACAGGGCATCTTCTGTTCATTACATTAGTAGGGCACTTCATTTTTCAGCAGACCTCATATTACAATGAGCTCATTTCTACCATGTCGACGTACTCCAGCTTTTTATTACACCGATAACTACACTCAATCCCATCTAACACAAATAATTACTCTTTGCTCCAGTGAACAGCCATACGTTTGGATGCCATCTTCTATTTAATCTATATCAATGGTCTAACCTCCAGCAACAAATCAATAATTGATTGAAATCATGATGGGACTTAGTTTGATCACTGGCCTTTTGAGAGCTC